CTTCACGACATAATACTTAAAGCAAACTGACTTGTCCAAATAGGCATAATCTTCGCACCAGACTCCCTATAAAAGATTTGAATTTGATTGGTTAAATGTTTTGTACTGTTATCCATCTTGAATATATACCTTAGTGTCATTCTGTCATTAATTAAGCAAAACTCAGATTCTAATTAAAAATAAAAAGATACTTATTTAGTTATATGGTGAATGATAAAGCTTTATATCTTATTTAATTATATAAAGATTTTAATATATACACCTTTAAATTAAGTAAATACACACCCATTCTACAAATAATGCAACTTTATTAAACAAACATGGTACAAGTGGTAAAAGATTAACATTAGTAGTTAGTGGATCTGTCCTTTTCAATATTTAAAACAGAAACATGGTTGCACATGTTTTTACATTACATGAAATCTGGGCTTGTGGAATAGTACCCTACTCCTGTCATAGAACTTGAATAAAGATGACCTTAGAAACTGGTTGTTTGGGACAGTGTCACATGGGATGACCAACGATGGTTGCATGTTCTCAATAGGGATTATATCCAGTGATTGGCCGGGCCACCATGAGAAGATATTATTATCCTGACCTTCAAGCCATCATTGTGTGGTTTGAGCTAAATGAGCAACAGCCCCTTCTTGCATGAACTGCCATGTTTTCTAAGCTGATCATTGACAGAGGCAGGTAGAATGCCTTTCTTGAGAATTGTTATGTTTCATCAACAGTGACTTTCCTTTCACATACCACTAGCTGTGACTGCTCAGCTACCCAATTGACACTCCCATTTTATAATAGAACTAACTCCATATTTCGTTATGGCCATCCAGTGTCAGAAAATTGTACAAACCTGGATTCATCAGAAAACTTGTGGTGTCTTAAAAAGCAGGAGGATGTGGTAGCATCATTGATGTTGACATAAGATATTGCCTGAAGTGAGGAATGGCTTCTGTCTAACTACTTTGCCATTGTAGCATATACTATGAAGATAAGGTCTGGTGTTACTGTGGCACAGTTGTACCTATTTTATAGTATAATCATCTGTTTAACATGGGGCTTTCTTCACACTTTTCATGGAATGACAAGTCTATTCTATTCTATTGGTTTTTGGGCACTAAAACTGTACAGAAATTGTTTTCTGACTTGATTAGAACTACATTATCACCATCTTCACTGTAGACAGTTGTACTGAAAATGGTGTGTTGATTTGTTGCTGACTTTGACTACCTTCCCCATCATTCCACTAAGTAACTTCATGAAAATACAGTTAATTCATAGTACTCTCTTGTTTGTGGCATGGCTAGTTGCATTCTGCAGTCTTTACAGAGTTAAGCTGTATTTATATGTCAGGATCACTTGCACATTGTGTCATGAAGATTGTATTTTTATTTTTGGACAGTTTTACTTATTGGTAAGTTGTGTATATGATCTCCAAACTGATGCAGTAATTATAGCTTTGCAGCTGTAAGTATTCATCCAGTTTCATGCAATACACTAAAATATTCTATAATATCTTCTTTTTTGTAAGGCATAGTAAGGTAACATTCAGCTATATCAGATCTTTGTGTTTGATCCAAAATCGCACTTGTTTGACTTAAGTTCATAAATCATATTACACTTACACATTTTTTAGTAACTATTAAGAAAAAAAATAACTTTATTTTTTACTGTTTCAGCCTGAGAGATAAATGCATTCTTTGATTAGTTTGAAGGTCTTACCTGAATTTTTTCAAAATAATTTTGTGTTTCTTGTTTTTAGAGACACAGCCGAGGTAGAGAGAATCCAGCAGAGTGTTTTAAGTTTGAAATTGAAGAGCGTCTGCAGTGTGTTAAATCAGGAAAAGTTAAATATACAAAAAGAATAGACTATCTCCTTTCACTTCCTATCCCTCTAGACCTTGCTGTAAATAAAGGTTTGTTTTTTTTTCATTGAACATTATTGAAATGTATGAATTGATAAATCTTTTTAGAATCTTACGTTGTATATTTTTAATTCAAAAATGTCGACAGATTTCCATTAGTTGCATCCTTTTTTTTTATTCTTCTCTAAAACCTTTATTTAATATCTTCATTTTGTTATACCTACTGGTGTTCTAGAATGTTTGCCTATTGGTAAAAATGAAGATTTGCTCTTTAGCAGCATTTCAGTAGTGTTTTTTGCAGGTTTTGCAGATGTGTATTTGCTGTGTATAGTAAATTTTATTATATTGTGAAGTATGTTTGTCATTTTGTATTTTACATAAGTTTGTAAACATAACTTTATTTATTTATTTTGATAATTAAATTTCCTGACACAGTTTTTTATTATTACTGCACAAAATATCACAATGTTTGAAGAAAAATGGCCATTTAAGTGTTCTGATAAGTCCTTTTGAAACTCAAATGTATTAAATAAAGGCATTCCTACTTATTTTCTAGTATTCACTTTTGATCCATTGGCTTTTAGAAAATAATGGACATTGTGATGTGTTTTTGGCTATATCTGCTTGATAATTAGTTTAAATGATGCAAATATATTGGTGTCTATGAAACATTATGCTCTTCTAAAACATTAATGAAGAGTGGAGTTATTATGCACAAGAACAATAGTCAGTAACTATTTTCTGAAATAAAATACATTGGCAGCCATAGATTTGTCTCTTGTAAATAAGTGTAATAAATGAAAAAACCAGAAAATTACACTAACATGGCTCAGTGGTTAAATATTTGTGTTACAAATATTATATATATTTTTTTTAACATTCAACAGATGAAGTTGCTGCATTTGAAGCTAAGAAAGCTGTAATAGAAGCTAGAGGAGAAAAAATGTACGTTTTTTGATATAATATAAATGTCTGATGAAAATGGGTTGTAAATGGCAATTATAAAATAACAAATATAATATGTCTTTCTTTTCCTTCATATAGTCTAACAGATGTTATATAAGTTAGATAATTTAGATAGTGTAATGAATAAAATAGATAGAAATTAACATTGTAGTATGTACAATTTATCCCTACTGGGCAATCCTAAATTTATAATGTGAGAAATGTGGTACAGTCTAACCTCCACTAATGGTCATTTCTCACTTTTCATACCTGGCAGTTTTTTATCCCCTTGATTGTTTTTCATATATGGCCACTAAACTTTTTGTAATTAAATCAAAACATTTCTGTTAGACAACCACATGCACTCAAATTCAAACTAGAAGTATACAACGAAAATATCCATAAGCAGGTAGCCATGGGTCACTAAAGTTTAAAGAATTTGGCACATACTTAATAGTAAGGTTGTGTAAGATTGATAAATATAATTATCACAATTAGTAGTCTATATGATGACCTAAATTTAATTATTAATTATAACTAATGTTTTATTTATTGTTATACCTAGATATGAACTACTGATTATTTTTTATTATTTATTATTGTTATATTTAAATACTAATACTATTTGTAATATAAAGAACCACTTCTTTTCTATGTGTTTTTCGTTAGCTTACCTCATTAAAAAGATGCATGCGCACATGCACATGGATGAAATAAGTAATAATACCCAGGTGCATACCCTCAAGGTCCACTTAGCATAGATGCAAAATTTCAGGTTTCTAGGTTCTTTCCTCTTGGAACTGTGATAGTCACATTTATTTTCTATGTGGTTTTTGCTAGCTTGCCTCATGAAAAGACGTGCATGCATGTGAATAAGTAATAATAACCAGGTGCACACCCTCAGGGTTTACTTAGTATGTATGCAAAATGTCAGGTTTCTAGGTTCTTTTTTCTTGGAGCTATGGCAGTCACACACAGACCCACAGACACTCCCATTTATTGTTATAGATTATTGTTATTGTTATACTTAAATACTAATAAGTTTTTATACTGTGTTACTAATTAATTATGAATATAAATTACTATTTCAAGAACAAGATTCTATATGATCTTCAGATTTTTCAGAAGCTGTTGGTTGTTCACAGTTTACAAGCCTTTAATGACCTTAACACTAGTCAGGCAAAATATATCTGTGTTTTGTCAATATTATAGCCTAACAATAAACTCATAAGGGGGTTCAGTATTTGTGGTGCATGACAGTTCAATGATGGAGACATAAGTTAGATAATATAAGATAACACTTGATTGCCATTTTAAAATGATTATCCAATAAAATTAGCTTTCACAAACAAAGCATCTTTGTTCTTTTTTTCTTTTCTATTTGCAAACTTCAAAAAGTGCACAAAGGTCAATAACTGCACTGTGTGTGTACTGAAGTGTGATGATAACTTTGAAAAAATCTAGTCTTAACTCTAGAAAAAAATTGTTCATGCCTTGAAGCTGTTAGTCAAGGGAAAAGCTGTAGAAAAGGTGCTGAAGAAATGGGTGTAGACAGACTCAAATTGAAGAGACTTTGAAAAGAATACAAGAAAATATGACAGAATGTGAAAATAAAATAAACCCAAACAGAAAAAGACATTGATTAAGGATGGGAATGAACAAATATACTTATGTCTAGAAGGATAAGTATTTCAGGACTACTTATAAAAGTATGAAAATAAAATAAAAACTTTGCCCTATTTGCTTAAAAATAATAATAATAACTTTGTTAATATATTTATTTTCTACATTTGCTTCCTAGTCTTTGAAATATCTATGTGGAACATAGAAACCCTAACTCAACAGTCACTACTATTAAACAGTCAATAACATCCCAGCCTTTGGCTGATTGCATAACTGTGTGTGTATCGGTGGTGATCAAAGTGCATGTCACAATGTTTTACAAAATTACATTCAAAATTTAAATAAACAACATTATTACCAATTTATGTCAGTAAATTTGACATAAAAATGTAGTTAATAAATCATATTTTTAATTTCTTAATTTCAAAAGGAACTATTTAGATAAATTCTCAGTCTTCACTTGTATATATCATGTGACACTTGTTCACTCTGAATTGCCCATTTAAAGATTCTTTCTGACGCTATTTGACTTTTGAGTTTTATTACAAATTATAAACTTATAGTATAGATATGACTGATACAGATGTAAGTTTTATGAATGAGCCTAATGCTGTTTAGGATAAATAATTGTAATTTTCTCTTACTATCTGCAACCATTCTAGAAAAAAAAAAACAGGGTAATTTAGATTTGTTTCATATTTTTTTGAGGTGGTTATAAAGCCAGTCAAATGGACAGAGCCCATATAGTGTTAGGATAAAGAAAATGACATGATATGTAAGTCCCCCAGTGGGACAGCAGTAAGTCTATGGACTTGCGATACTAAAATAAAGGGTTCGAATCCCCTTGGTAGACACAGCAGATATCCCATTGTGGCTTTGCTACAAAAACTAAACAAACAAATAAAATATAAAGTTTTACTGAAAAAATTTCATATTCATTTAGGATGTTCTAGAGGTTATGTAAATGAAATATGAAACTCGCAGATGAGAAAAAAAAACATTTTTATTCTTAACATGAAAATCACCTTGCACTCAGATTATTAGAACCTGAGTCAGTCTGACTAAATTCAGAGAGTAATCTTTTGAGTAGAAATACTTTATTCAAAATTCTTATTTTTTGTGTACAATATTCTTGCAATGTTTGCTGAAAGCTTACCAAATTTTGGGAAGATACATTTAGTAAATTCAGAATTATAGAATTTATAGTAAACATTGATCCTCTAGTACTGGCTTGGTCCAGTGAACTCACCCATACATATAGGATTTAAAGAAGTTATACTGTAGTAATTTAAATATCAGTAAGTCAGCTAGATTTGGCAGTGATATCCAAATCAAGATATTTGTGTGCGATCATGTTGTAGTAGTCTGTTCATGCAACTATAGGAGATGAACTTGCCCTATTGAATATGTGTATTTCTTCATATTGGTTATTTAGGTAATCAAGAAACTTGACCACCTGTTCTTCATTCTTAAATACAATAAATGTATCATCCAGATATCTTTTATACACTATTGTTTTGAATCCTTCAGGACATTCTTGTGACCAGATCTTTTCTTGATAACATATTTTCTAACATAGGGGCCAAACTAGGTCCCATACGAATTCCATCTCTTTGTTTGTATACTTTTCCATTCAACAAAAAAATGTGACTGTTTTGTTACTGTTTCACAAAATGTTTGAAATGTTTCTTTGGGTATACTGTCAAAGTTACCTTCATTATTGTAAATCAAGTTTACACTTGATTCAGTGATATATTAGTAAATATAGATTCTACATCAAAATTAGTAAATATTAAATCATGGTCAAACATAACTCTGATGTTATTAACAAACTCAGAACTGTCTATCCAAATATACTCATTACATATAAATTCCTTTAAAACATTACTCAAAAATTTTGATACTTTATAATTATAGCATCCAATATTTAATATGATAGGTCTCATTGGACAATTTGTTTTGTGTATTTTTGTAATACAGAAAACATACTAGCATGTGAACAAGTGGTCTTATTTCTTTGTATAATTGTTAATTTATAATATTTTCCTTAAAAATATATTAAAATCCAAATATTCAAATATCAAAATTTGGTTTTAGTATTTCTTAAAAAATTTTTTATTTAGATATTTGTTGCAGCTGTAACATCATGAAATGCTCAAGGAGCATTTTTCTTATTTTGACTGATTTTATAGCCTTTTTTTTCTTCTGTTTTTAATTTGTTTATTTTGCATTTATTTGTTGTCTTAGACTGGTTTGCTTCTAATATTTTGATTCATTGATCAAAAATGGCACTTCTAGGCTGTGTACTAAAAATTGTGAGTTCTTTAAAAATATTTAAAATCATTATTATAGGCAACGATGACAGTGAAAGCATTTCCTTTACTCATGGCTTGGTTGGTGTGTGTGTGTATGTTGTGCTGTTTATCTGGCAAAATTGAAGCACTATCTTTAATGACAAGTTACCAATAACACATTTATGTAAACATGCCCAGTAAAGTAAAGGTAAAAATGTGTTATGGGTATGGTCACACCAGTTTCTATGGCCCTGCATATAGAAGGCATCAGTCAAATAACCAGAAAGAAGTCATACTGTATTATTTCTATTATAGCGTTACAATCAGGGTTTTAGTGCAGTATTCTGCAACCCTTAGATTATCTAAAATGAGCTAACCCCCACTCCATGGAGTAGATATGGAGCTGAGCATGTACTAGCTTTTGTGGAATAGACATAGTAGTGTGTAATATTTACAGGAGGATCAGTGCATGTCTACTAATTCATCTGGTTTACAAAGAAGATGCTTACTGCGTGCAACATGCGGATGTAAATTTATAAATATTATATGAGGAAAGGTATATTCTATACTAGGTATGGGATAGTAAAATATAATGATAGTAATATAATCAAACTTTCATTAGCTCATCTAGAACAATGATAGTGAATGTTGCTTAAATGATATTCAGGTGACAAATGTTGTGGATTTTATTTATCTATACATTTGTACTCTTTAATGTCAAAAGAGAAATTAACAAGTCTTGTTGTTCAGCTATCAATTATTACTAAGATATTATATAGCATTTACGAAAAGTGCAGTACATTGGATATCTCCCATCAACTTGTGTTTCATTTGAGATGGGACTAGTTCTCTTATAATTTCTTATTAATCAATCCAGTATTGTTAGCTGATTAAACTGTCTCAATACAGTTGCTTTTCTGTTATCAACTAACATCCTTTCTAAGATAGATTCTTTCTTTTTTTTGGGCAAATCCTTTATCTTCTCAAACATTTTAATCACCTTGCTTCCTTTATAACAATGAATAAATCTTAAATATTTTACCAAAGTTATTGTTAATAGAAAACTATGAGGTTTCTGGTTATATACTGCAAGGGTTGGGAGAAGAAATGCTTAATTTTTTCACATTACATTATGGTAGTATTTAATATAGAATGCTTTTGTATATTTTAGTTCCAATAAATAAAATTTGTATATTAGTGACTTTCATGATTTATTTTGAGCATAACATAAACAATTTTGATAAGATCAAAACTTCATGTGAGGTTGTTATGATTTCCAAAATAAACTCCTTATTAAAGGTTTATTTTCCTTCTTACAGTGATCCTAATGCAGTTATTAGGCCAAAAATTCCACTATCAGTATGCTTGGAAAACTTTGCTGCTCCTGAAACTCTTGAAGATTTTTTTAGCACAGCCATAAATGCAAAATCCACAGCTCTGAAGTAAGTGGTTGTTATATATATATATATATATATAGTAGTAAATACTAGTATTATATAATTTCTTAAAATGATGGGATTTAATGTACAGGATTTGTTTTGATCAAATTCTCAAAACATGCATTAAACAATACAGCATTTATAATGGCTGGAGACGGCTTAAATGGGTAATGAAGAAAAACTTTAATATAAGTTTAACATGACAGCAAATGTACAACGTTTCGACAAGGTTTTGTCATCGAATTTGAATACAGCATTTAACTTTTTCCTGATCAGAGGGACCTCAGGTCACTTTGTGTATACAATCACAAATTAATGTTCAAACTTAAATAAAAATGTAATTCTTATTCTATTTTAACTTTTTTTTTTTTTTACTCAAAGTATTGCAGAACTGAAATTTTAGTTATATAAAATTCTTATCTGGTTTATTTTCATAAATTAAAATTCCAACATTGATTAGCTTGACATTTATTTATGTTTCTTTAGTTTCTGTTTGCCAAACTGTGAATATATTAGTTGAAATCACATTGCACTGACCAGAGAGGTATTGGAAACTTTGATTGCTTTTAAGCTTTGAAAAGAGATATGGCTTAAAAACAGTAATTGATACAAAGGGGGAGATGCTATACAATCTAAATTCAAATAGTGGTGTCTGAATATTAGTTACACTTTTGAAAATGGTGAAATGGATGTGGTGAAGGGTAGTAAAGCAACATCAAGACAATTTTGTCTTGATTAATTAGACGCTTGGCATTTTTTTATAGTTGCTGATGCCATTATTTTCATTCCTGGTAATGTTTTTGTATTATATTATGTTTGTTTTGAAAGTCTACAGGAATATTCTTCTATGACAAGACAACAAGTAAGGATACTGAGGATCGATAAGTATGATAATCCAAGGATTGCAGCAACAAACTCAAATGATGCAAATACTACATTATTGGATATATCATTAAGCATATTCCATTCAAACAAAACATACAACTACATTAATTTCTTATTTATTGATAATAAACTAAGTACTAGATAAAATTTGATCTTAACCAACAATATTGTTGGTAAAATATGTCATTATCATTCCCAATAAAGGTGATGGTGTTGCAATATTGAAAGGTGAGGTTATTATTTAACCATACTGTGCTTGTATGATTCACAGTGGGAAATTGACTACTTCAATTGGCAAAATAAAGTGTCAAAATAAATATATTGATGAATATTATGCAAGTTAAAACAAGTTAGATATATATATAAAATAAATCTTTCTTGTCAGTAATATAAAGGAATAAAGTCTAAGAGTAAAGGAAGTATTTAATTGTTTTTCAAAATGATGTTTAACAAAATTTATATCTTATGACCTAAGAAAATGATACAGACACTATATAAAATGTTATTAATTTTTTCACAGAAATTATACACTGTTTAGAAAGTTTGTATGAAATTTCATGCAATTTGGTTAAGTATTTTCATTGTGAGTGAGGAAAATAATAGATGATATCAATAATATTTTTTTATGGTATTTTATATATATATATATTGCGAACCATGGTGTCTGTCCAAGCATCTGTCTGTCTCTCGTATGAAAAGATGCACATACAGGCAAAGGCTCAACATTCACTTTTGAAATGACAGGAGAACAGGCATGAATAATATTGATGCCAAATTTTATTTTGCAAGCAGGATATTCTACACTAACTTGTTATGAATTAATCACACTATCATTGACATTTCAAAATGTAATGTAAGTTAAAGAAAAAATTTTCATTTACCATATGTTATTCCTGAGCAGCTTTTAGCATGAATGGAATGCTAAAAAATTACTTTTCATGGTGGGTGGTACAAGTAGCTCAGAGCTTTGGCTCTGATTGAAACCAAGAGTGCAACACAATTTCCCAAAGTCTCAGAAATAATTTAAATTGATAGATTAACTCAAACTTTTTCTGTCACTTGGAGATGATGGTGATGTTTGACAAGACACATTTTTATTTACTGAAGCTTCTAACATCTTAGTATACACTTGTTCCATCGAAATCTGGAAATAATATAATCATATTTATTAAATAATGCTATAGTAACTTCAATAGCTAATTTACTTAAAATATTCAGCAAAGGGATAAGTAGGAGAAAGAAATAGAATAAGTAGCAAAAATTACAAGATGCCTGAGACTTTAAATTATAAGTCTAACTATTAGCAAATGACTGAGTGTTAAGTGAAGCTATTTGAAATGACTTATGATCTAAGGATGTTTGTAAGTCATTAAGAGACAGGCAGTCTTTTGCTATGATTAAGTAATCTTTCTTTAATGCAGAGTTCAAGGTCTGAAGATCCTGTTGTAAATAAAAATGTTTTTTGTCTTGTCAATCATCTTCATATTCATGATTAATTTTTGTTTTCTTGATTATAAATCCATTGCTAGTATCAATTCACATATTATATCCCTGCAACAGGTACAAGTATATACTGTGTTACCTTTATTAAAAAGAAGTAATTTTGTCCTATTGATGGAAGAAACATCTAAATACAAAAATAAAGAAAAAATGTCAACATTGTTCTTTTTCTCCAGTGTCATGCAAGCATTGATGATCATAACTTTCCCTTTTTCTTTGTCACTGGTGTTTTTCAACAATTCTGTGTTGTTATTCATGGTTCCTAATCATTTTGTGAGTCCATCAAGCATCTTTATTTTATTTTTGTTTTGTTTTACTTTGCTTCTTTTTCCTTCTATCTTGTTGGTTGTTACTATGTGCTCCTCCTTTTCTCTCCTCATCACATGACCTATGAAATCAGTTTGTCTTTTTCTTATTTTCTTGATGAAGTTGGGTTGGGTTATATCAATACTTGTTCCTGACTTTTCTTCTTAGTCAGTTCTATTCACATATTTCAGCTCCTTCAATTTTTTTTCAAAATCCTTTGTTATTGTCCTGCCAGATACCTTAGTGTAATCATTAGGACACATGTATAAATCTTATTATACATCATCTGCTCTTTCAGTTAATGTCCTTAGTATATATATATATTATTATTATTAGACCCTATCTCCTTGTTAAGTTTATTAAATTTTTCGTTATTTGCCTTTGCTTGTCTTCTTTTTTCCATCAGATAAATGTATTTCATTTGTCATCCACTTATATCTACCTTTTCTCTTTTTTTTTGGACGATGGTTTCTTCTGCTTACTGATTGATTGAAACTTTCAGCTGTTCTCATTGAAATTCTCTTTGTTCTATATTTGACAAAGCATTGTAAGTTTTTGAACTACTATTTTGAATTTTTCTTTTAGCATTATATCAGATTGTAATAGATCCATGTCTAATCAGTGTTTTTGTTGGGTTTTTTATATTGCTGGAACTGTGTATTTCCAATAATCATCTCTGAGTTTTTGCCCATTCTATCAGATTTTTCCCCTTTTATATTTCTGGTTTCTGATCTGTATGATCCTACAGAATCATACACCCAACCATTTCTAATTTTTGTTTTAAAGTCTTCTATTATAATTACAATGTCTTAAGATTAGCAATGAAGTTGAGCTTGTTCTAAGTGGAATAAAACCTTTCAAGATCTTCTGGTCAACCAGTTGTTGGTGTATAAACTTCTTTGATATTGAGTGACATGCTATTTAATTTCACAAGTAAAATTCTGTTGGAGGTGGCCCAGTTTCACAGCATTTTGCTCTTAATCGAAGTTTGCACCAACTCCCTTCTCATGCTTATCTCCCCCTGAGAATATGATTGTATGTTTATTTGTTGTTAATTCTGTGTCAGTCCACTTCACTTCACTTACTCTCAGTATATTATTAACCTTTGCATTTCTTGTTTAATATTGTCTAGTTTTCGTTTTTGAAATAGTATTCTTACATTCCACATTGCTAATTTTAATTTTGTTTCCAATGTGGGCAGTAGCTTGTTAACAGTTTGATGTCACCTGTCTCATATGGTGGCCCCTGCCAAGCGAGATGATTTTACTATTGGAACCATTCTTCACACTGTTGTATCTGTCATTTAAGAACTATTGGGTCATGATATTCATGGCAGATACAAAAGTGGTTTGCTATTGCTTTCCTTTGGATTTATTTAAGGTTTAATCCTTTAGCCTTTTATTAAAAACCTGATCCACAAGGCAGTAGGGGGCTTCACAACTTCTTTTAACATCTTCAACGTAACCTAGGATGGCCTTCATGGTTATCATAGTGGCCCGGTGAGATAAACTCTTACTACCATATTTAATTCAAATCCAGCAATCCTCTACTTGTCATGTTCCCCATCTCCCATGATGTAGACATGGAGGTTGTTGGTGGTGTTTTTTTGGGGAATGAGGGGCATTACAGGAGTGAATTATTGCTGTGTTTCTTATACTTGTGAAAAGAAGGAATCATGATTGATATTAAATATGTTCTATAATCTAACCCTCACTAATTATTATTTTAATGTTAAGTTCTCATTTTACTCATTGGTTAATGATGAGATTGGTATAAACCTAAAAGTTGTGATGTGTAGATAATCAATTAACTCTCTCAACATGGGCTTGGTTGAATTGACCAATCACATGACCACTTTGTAATTGTTATAGTTTTGATACTACTAACTTTTAATATAATTTGTATCTTCACAAAATTTGGCAGACTTTCAGTAAACATTACAAGTCTTCTATAAACAAAAACCAGATTTTTTGACAAATTATCTTTACTTAAGATTTGTCCATGAATCTATCAAGTCTATTTTTTTTTACTAGTCTGAGTGCAAAGTGATTTTCATATTAAGATATAAGATACTTTTTTTCATCTTAAAAATCTCAAATTTCATTTACATAATCTCTAAAACCTCCTGAATACATTTCTCTACCCTAACTTTATATAAGGCTGGTCAGTTTGACCTGACCTCATAAACACCAGAAAAAAATTTAAATAAATCTAAATCTCTTTTTTCCTTTTTCTTTCTAGTATGACTTCAAATTCTAATATAAAACTACATTTATTTATCCTAAATAGCTTTACACTCATAATGGTATACA